AGGGATAGCTCCGTGGAATATAGAATAAGAGGGATCGTGGAGGGAGGGAGCAGTGCCATTCCCTGTTTATCGTAATCTTTTTTTTTTTCTACTATTTACTGCTGCTGCTGCTGCCACATTTGCTACTGCTACGGCTGCCCATGCGAGTTCTACGACTTCAGCTACTCCTACTGCTACTACTACTATTACTGATACTATAGACTCTCCAGAGGACTATGGGCTATGGGCTATATAGACTACAGACGATAGCCTACAGACTATATATTGTATAGTCTATAGACTATAGACTATAGACAATTATAGACTATAGACTATCCATATGGAGAGACTATCGCGACTATTATAACTAGCTTTTCTATTATGCAGCGAGTGCTATTGCTTGTTACTTGTTACTTATGACTTATGACTATTAGTCTATTAGGAATACTCCGAGCCCCACTGCTCCTTACTGCTGCTGCGACGATCCACACTGTCCCCCGCTTGCAGAGGGGCTCGACATAGTTATGTTCGTAAGTAAGTAACTAAGTAACTAACAGTTCACACATTTAGGCGATGGGTTGGCAGCCCACAACATGCACGAAACCGGCTTGCGGTGCAGTTGAGAGAGATAGCATTCGGATTTCCGGAGTCAAGAGTCATTCCGAGTCATTCCTGTTCGTGTTCCCTCCAAGAATTGCATAATGAAATAGCAGTTAATATGTTCATATCAGCAACTTATATATGTCATCTACATACGGAAATCCTGGGCTACTGGTGAGGGGCATGAACGTGGATGACTTGGCGAGTGCTTCAGCTGCTACCCACGGCCATGGCAGACCCAAGGCAGAACATTTTCAATATAGTGTAATATAGGTCATTGTAAATTATAAATTTAAAAGTTATAAGTTATAAGTCATGCTTAATTATTAAATTATTAATTTTTGTGTTATTAATTAAATATTAATTAATTAATGTTTACTTTAATTAATTTGACGTAAGTTTCATTTAATTTCATTCTGTTCAATTTAGTTAATTTGACATAAATTTACTTTAGTTTTATCTACTTTACTTAATTGTACTTCATTTTAATTTTGTTTAATTTTGTTTCGCTTACGACAGGGCAGGGCAGGGCAGGGCAGGGCAGGGCAGGGCAGGGCAGGGCAGGGCAGGGCAGGGCAGGGCAGGGCAGGGCAGGGCAGGGCTGGGCTGGGCTGGGCTGGGCTGGGCTGGGCAGGGCAGGGCAGGGCAGGGCTCGTAGTTGAACAGTTAGGGGCCCCTAACTGTTCAACTACGAGCCCCCAGGGGGCCTGGTTTGGGGATTCGTAGTTGAACAGTTAGGGCCGGTTAAGTTGAACAGTTAGGGGCCCCTAACTGTTCAACTACGAGCCCCCAGGGGGCCTGGTTTGGGGATTCGTAGTTGAACAGTTAGGGCCGGTTAACTGTTCAACTACGAATCCCCAAATGTGGATTTTCCCTATAGCTTTTACACAAAACAGCAATTTGGGGATTCGTAGTTGAACAGTTAACCGGCCCTAACTGTTCAACTACGAATCCCCAAACCAGGCCCCCTGGGGGCTCGTAGTTGAACAGTTAGGGGCCCCTAACTGTTCAACTACGAGCCCCCAAACCAGGCCTCTTGGGGGCTCGTAGTTGAACAGTTAGGGGCCCCTAACTGTTCAGCTACGAGCCCCCAAACCAGGCCTTGGGGGCTCGTAGTTGAACAGTTAACCGGCCCCTAACTGTTCAACTACGAGCCCCCAAACCAGGCCCCTGGGGGCTCGTAGTTGAACAGTTAAGCGGCCCCTAACTGTTCAACTACGAGCCCCCAAAGCAGCTCCTTTCACCGCCCCTGTCCCTGCCGCTGCCCCTGCCCTGTGCCTGGCCTGCACCGCCTTCGGTTGAAAGAATGTGAACTAAACTACACTAAGTAAAATAGCAACAAGTGAATATTCTAAATTAAAATAAATGAACTTGAGCTAAATTAGACTAAGTTAAATTCCATTAAGGTAAGTCAGACAGTCAAGTCAAGTTCATTAAACTAAACTAAGTTAAGTTAAATTAAGCAAACGAATTAAATTAAATTATTAAATTAAATGGAATTTAACAAAAGAAAATAAACCAAATTAAAACAGTGTGATGTAATTTATAGTTTTTTAAATGAACTAATTTAAATTGATTTGAAATCAATTAAGCTACAACATTAAATTAAATCAGTTGAAAATGAATTAATCTGAATTAAGCAGTTACATTAAAATTAAATAAATTGAATATTAATATAATAACTTAAACTGAAACTGTTATGAGTTATGAGTCATGAGGTGCTTAACTTAAAGTAAATTAATGAACTTAGATTATGATTATGTTACTTGTATTATGCTGTACTGCAGTAGTTGATATTACATTGACTTTCGTTAAATCAAATCAAATTAAGTTGAACTCAATCTAATTAGGCTAGATTGACTAGAATTTAATTCGGCTGGATTCAATGAATTTGGCTTGGACTCCATGTAACGATGACTTAGACGTAGCTATCGGGTATGGGCTATGGACATATGACATATTACATATTAACATCGAGTTTGGTAATATAAACAACAAAACATAAATATGTAATAGACCCTCGTTCTGTCTTGGGCTACCGTGCTTCCAGTTGCAGCCGGCCTGAGATTTGTGCAGCACGTGGTGCTGTCTTATTGGCAGGGGTCTCGGAGACTAGGGTGACTGTACGACCATCAACTTGCCCACTGCATGCCTGCTTGGGACCTAAAATACTCCTATCCGAAAGAGCTGGATACGTGGTTTGGGTGATTCTGGCACTGCTGATGGTCGTACAGTCTCAGACCGTTTCTACATGTTCCGATATAAGCTCCGCAGGGATTTGCCGATAAGTCTTTCTATATATCAGTGAAACTTATTCATACGGGACATAATAATAACAATAGAAGGGTATTATTATTCTTATTTTATATAAATTATAGAACTTATATTATATGACTAGACTATAACTATGACTATAACTAGTACCCTCACCTGATTATGGCATCATTTAAGTTTATATAGTTATAGTCTATAGTTATAGACATAGACTATAACTATAACTAACTATATAAACTTAAATGATGCCATAATCAGGTGAGGATACTATGAAATTAGTATGGTCGGTATGATATTTGTTTCGGAAAGCCAGGTCAAAGACACAAGGCGCCAGTTCAAGGTTGTGGACCTCCCTCGTCTCGGGTGTTGATGCAAAGTTTCCTAGGAGTTTGTGTGTCATTCTGAGGCCTGACCCAGCCTGTCAGATATGACATTGATATGACATGAGGCAGTTCCTAGCATTTGATCCTTTTGTACTTTGCACGTTTAGATATAGATATAAATCGATATAAAGAAACTTGAAAATGCCATTATATTCGCTCACCCTAAGCTCTCCGATCTAGGCCCACGACGAAGGGATTGTCAACAGAGTCCTTTCGCATGCCGAGGTGTCACTAATCCAATTCGCCCTCTGCTAGATGCCAAGCTTAGCCGATTGTGACACATAACAACAACTACATACTTGATATTTGAAGTCTAGGTTCAGAAATATTATGGGGCCCAGTGCTTTCGTGCTTGGCGGATGATACACAGAGCTCGGCGGCTGCATGGCAACAGGAAGTCAGATGGCACAGCTGGCCTACCAGCCAAGTAAGGTGACATCGGTGTTACTTTGGCGAAATATTTTGAGTAGGTGAACTGAACAGGACAGCAGTTCCAAGCTTCGTAGTTTTGTAGAGGTTTAGACTAGATTGGTTGAGAAATAGGAGTTTTCAGCACTCGTGTTGCTGTATTGGTTCTTTTAATGAAAGCCAGAGGGATGATGTGTTGGTTGAGGAGTTTACTGTAGGTCTTCCTGTGACTATGACTACGACTATGACATAGCAGACCGTCGTGGCTCGCATTGGAGATTTCTTGCTTGCTGTGTCATTTACCGTGTAACATGCCCCAATATATCGCAGGTGTCTCAGTGCGAGATCTACCTTGATTTAGGTGTAGGTGTGCCGCCGTATTATAGTTAATAGTTATGAAACGAATGCACTTACGACTGAAATGAACATATATAGGATGACATGACAAATATCACATATCACATGTCACATATCATATATGTCATGTCAGAAGCCATTCGCAGGTCCAGCTGTTCGACTGCCGATATGATATGATATGATTCTATGATATATCAAATGATTTAATTGTATATGTTTTATCAGTTATGTCTATGACTCTATGACTATAGGTTCTTAGGCGAAGGACTGCAATCTTGGGATCATAGGCCATAGTCGAAAGTATTGCCTTGTACTAGCACCTATTGCCTATTGCTTATTGCCATTTCCTTATTGCTGCAGTTGCTGCTGCTGCTGCTACTTCCTACTACTGCTGCTGCTATTGCTGCTGCTATTGCTGCTGCTGCTAGGATCGATGCTTCAGTTCCTGCACATGATTTGGTTGTCCTACTGATACTAGGGCTATGACTATGGTCCCTATGATGTTGGCACTGGTCGCTGTTCGCCATTCCATCCTGAGTACCTCCAGGTCTACTGAGTTTCTATTTTGAGCACAGAGACCTATGGCAGCACGTGGCAGTACTTCCTTGCATCCGGGGGAAAAATATTGAAATGGCGACAAGGACGAGAGGTTGTGAGGAAGCCAGCAGATTGCGCCGAACGAGCTTGGCACCTTCATTCATTCCATTCCCGAAGACAGAAGTTGACCGAACAGTTAGCATTCCCCGAATTCTCATGAGACTCATAATCGTGCTGAGGCAGTGATGCTGTTCCATTTCTACATGTCCGCATGTCCTGTCATTTGATCGGCGATCGGCGATCGGTATTCAATGACTTGCAGTGATTCCTCAACCTTGGGCAGTTCTCGTTTCCATTCACGGTGTGCTCGAGTGTCTCAGTTTGCACGATAGGGAGTATCTCTGCTGCCTCTCGTTAGATTGTAATTCGTAGTTGGTTCGCCACAGTGCGATAGGAGCTGCAATGCCTAGGGCTTCAAGTGGTGCTTGTGTCCGATGCAAACGTGCCTGGACGTCCCCGAATCCTCTCGTCAAGGACCCGGCTCCGGAGAACACTTTGAAGCGACGAGGCCAGGCAAACTTCTGTCAGCCTTGCTTCTCCTACTGTTCTTGCGATCCTCAATTCAAACAACTGTCTGCTGCGGAGATTGTGACAAAGATCGATGAGGATCAGGCTAGCTACGACAGTGGACTAACTTCCTGGGAGGAGAGCAGGCGTGAAGGTGGCCGTCGTTCCAGAAATCCGGATCGTTCGACCCAAGTGACGGGCGAGGTTCGCAATGCGGTGTCCACGAAGCAGCTGCTTGGTTACTTGTGGCCACAAGCCCTGTTGAAGAAGCATGGGCTACTAGACCTGTGGACGAAAGGTCCTCGACAGACTATAATCCATTTTGGCCAAAAGCTGACTGGAGTCATGCGGGAGGTCAATGGGGTAGGGGCTGTCGAGGTGACCCAGGACAGCCAGATTGCAGCTGTAAGAGCTCACCAGGTTTGTGATCGCGAAGCAGATGAACAAGATGAGGCGGATGACGTCCACCAGAGCTTGACCAAGCAGCTCAAGCTGACCCAGGATGATGATGGCAATGGGTTGCTCAAGGGCAAGAAGAAGGGCAGGGATGATTTCGATGATTTCTTCGGCATCTGGGGGGTTTCGGGGGCTGTATCGTCGTCAGGCTCCAAGGACAAGGACAATGACGAGGATGCAACAGATGCTGTTCAGACAGGTACCCCGAAACCCAACAAACGTCCTCGCAAAGAGGTGGCCAAGGCCTCCACTTTCAGTGGAGCGGGGTGCCGATTGTCCGGTGGCACTACTACTTTGACTGTGAATGCCCAAGGAGGGGGGGATGATTCCACCACTCAGCCAGACTCATCGACTCCTCAGTTTGGGTCATCCGCTTCATGGCTGTTTGGAGGGAGCAGCAAGATTCGCGGTGCAAAAGGAAAAGGCGCCGGCAAGGGGTCATGCAAGGAGTTGGATCTCACCGACAAAATCCTGCAACAGTATGACAACACGAAGGTGGCTTTCGCCAGTGATGCCTCCTTCATGAGCATTACCTTTGCAAAGGTGACCACAATGGCCGAGAAGCTACAGGGTCGAAGCAGCGAGGAGTGCTTGAAGCTCCTCAGGGACTTGACGGCATCCGGTTCCGGTACCGACACTGAGAGGGCCTTGTCCATTATGCGGAGGCTCAGTGCTGCAAACTCCGAGGTTGCTGCTCTTTGCCAGGTGGTTTCAGCGGTGCATGACATGGAAGCAAGTGCCGCCACTCTGCTAGAGGGTATCAATGAAGCCAAGAGTGCAGGAATTTCTCTGCCAGGGAGTTTGCACCAGATGTACCATGCTCGGGCATTGAAGGAGGAATGCAAGTCGGGAAATTGGCAGGGCTTCTTGGACATGCTGCAGTGTGCGGAAATTGGCGCTATGTTCGGCACAGGATCTGAGCAGGATGCTCTCATTGAATTCCAATTTTGCTCCTTCCGATCCTCGTTGTCCAAACTCTTGCAGCAGGAAGTCTCCCCGGCGGATGTGCAGAAGCCGGACCCCAATGTGCCATCGCCGCCGATTTCCGAAGAAGAGAAGTCTCGCCGAGAGGCAGCCAAGAACCAGGTGCTCTGATGCCTAGCCTGTGCCCATAGAATAAGTAACAGAATCTGAGCCTAGGAATTCATTCTGTTACGTATGAAACATTCTAAGAATTCAAGGATAAGACATAATTTGAAATAACTCCGTACAAAATTGTAGTAGCGATGACTTGCAAAAGTAGATGGGTTGCAGTTCATATTTAAGTTTCGTCGGCTCAGTTAAGTCAGATTAAACTAGCAGAAACACGGCCACCGATGAAGTTGTCAAGAGTTATCAGTTAGCAGTGATTATCATAGTGATCATTTATCATTTAACGGTTGTTATCAGTTTATCAAAAGGGCAACTCTCGATAATCAGTGTCTTGAATCATTGTTGTCAAGTGGGGTTATGGGTCACCGGATCGCAGGTATCAGTGTTATCAGTTATCAATATCAATCGGTTACCAATTATCAAGTTATCAGTTACCAGTCATAAGTCCCAGGCTCGAAGTAGTACTGTATCCCCAATGTGAGTCGTTGCCGAAATCCAGCCCCAAAATGGGTCCATGAACTTTGTGGGCCCGTCATGCTACACTTGCAGACCACCGGAGATGAAAAAAAAGAACATGCAGCAAGCATCACAGTTTGTATCAGTGTATAGTTCCATGACCCATGTGCACAGCTGTTGGTTGGCTATGAATTCTTTGTGGTTGGGAGGTCTGTTTTTTAAAGGCATCCGGTGGCTACAAAAGCAGATGATTTATGATATTAGCTTCGATATTCTAATGATAACAATTGTGGGTTAGTATGCTGGCGGTAAATTATATTTAAGTTAGATACTGATCTACTGGTATACCGGTATACCTATGTTAGCCTGTATACTTTATAGGCTTATAGGTATGGTATTTATTGTGAGTTGTTGTTCATTCATAGGTTCATATCCGATACTGCTAATATAATGTATAATTGTATCTAGTGAAGTACAGAAGTAGGTATTGTCAATTCCTGTCCCTCAATTATCATTGTGGTCATTATTCTTGAACTACTATTATTGACTATTATTTCTATTACTATTATTTATACAGATTATAAATAAAATTACTATTGTTGTTATTCTTATTATCGTTGAATACCCACTTAGCATTAATCTTTCTTATCATATTGGCAGGCTATGAAGGCAAGAGCTTTGGAGCTGGCGAATGGGGTCAAGGACTTCTTGCACTGTTTCCTTGAATCGCCCTTGTCTGCTACCTGGTCCCAGCATCCTTCCGTGGCGTCTTTCGTGGTGGAGATAGAGAATTTGAAGAAAGTGGCCGATGCAGCATGCATGGGTGAGGCTCTCCAGCTGCATGCCGATGATATTGATACCTTGAGAAGTGCTCGGTTGTCCGTGGTGAACAAAAAGGCCGCAATGCATGAGTGCATGACCCTTTTTCCTTTAGGTCAGTTCATCCAACAGATGTGCAATGCTGGGCTGGAGGCTTGGCATCGTGATAGGGCTCTCGCAGCAGACTTGGAGTCCTGCATCACTACCTGTTCTCAGATGAAAAGCTTCACTGCGGACATGCTGTTGAAGGGCGAGGCTCCCGAGATCACAATTCAGGTTCCAGGGCAAGCGAAGCTTTGCGAGGTTGTGCAGAAGATGAACATGATTCAGAACACCGCCTCGCCCTTGTTCCTGCAGGAGTTTTCTTCCCAGGTGGCATTGGTCGAAACCAAGATGCAGGAGGTGAGGGATGCCTTGTTCCAGGCTTGTGCTCGGAAGTTTCACCTCGTATGTGGTGATGCTGTACTTGGGGTCTTGAGCACGATCCTCTCAGAGAGCCTGACAGCAGATCTCACGGCCAAGCTCATCGAAAAGATTAACTCGGCCAAAGCCTTCAGTCCATGCTCCCAAGCTCTTCTGCAGAAGTGCATCGGCATGCAAGCCCAGGAAGTAATCTCCGTTGTGACGGGTGTGCGAGACTTCTTCGGAGCCTTTGCAGCTGCTCTTCCAGGCCTTGTTGCTCTTTGGCAAGCCGCCGGCGATGCAGCTCTGTTCTCCCCGTCCCGTTTGTTGCATGCTGAGATGACTAAGTTCATGGCGGCTTGGGCGAGTGCTTCCACAAGGTCTGCACTACAGGAGATGGCGCCCGAGATCGACGAGAAGCTTTCTGCAGTGGTCCGGAAGATTTGTGAGAATGCCCTGTTACCGGAATGCATTTCATTTGGTCATCTGAGTATTCGAACTTGTCAATTTGTTTCGGAGTTCGGAATCAGGATTGTTACATGTGGTTCGTGATTCCTAACAGATCGTTCTTTCGGCTGCAGTCGTGCCACTTTCTTCCTTTGTTTGTTGCTGCCTGTCGACTAGGCTGTGTGGTTCCTTCGACTAGACAGTGTTGTTTGGAAGGGTCGGTTCATCTTTGTCTCGGCTGGTGAAATTTATACAATGCAGATTCGTAGATACTACTTATATTTAGTTTGCCAGTGGGATTTGGATGATAGCGATATCAGATATCTCAGATATCTCAGATATCCATTCTGGGTCTGGGTTTAGGGTTTCGTGGATAAACAGATTGCCGGATCGGAGATTCAATGATTGAGGGTTTTCCAGGCTTGGAGATAAGTTTAGGAGACAGATGATTGATTACAAGTGATATGGGGTGGTAATCCTGGGTGATATCATAACTAGTTGTGAGTTTGAAGCTATTCTAATTCCCATATTGTTAGCTTCTAAGAACGAAACTTACTTCAACTTATTTCTTGTGGCTAGATGAAATCTTGTCTTTGCCTCCTGGCTTGCTGATCAGTGAGCTATCTTATGAATCTTGGTATTAGTCAATTTTCTGGGGTTGGGGAATCAGGTGAACCGACATCATCACCGGCTTGAAATGTGCGACCCCAGATCAATGGAATACTGTCTGGGTATAGACTAGACAGTGAAGACAGCTACTACTTTTCATTGAGATAAGAAGTAAGTTGAACTATTTAAACTTGTCACTTATTGGCATCGTTTCATCACGAATGACATCATCATATGATTCGTCTCATGCGCCTCATACCAGAGTCACTCACACATCCTACCAATCATATCAACCATATCATATCATATCATATCATATCATATCATATCATATCAGGTCATATCATATCATACCATAGCATATCATAGGTATATAATAATAATAATAATTTATAATCATGTCATATGATCATATCTATCAGAAGCATATCCTACCAAATAACATCGTAATACACACATTCATGCGGTTACACAGTAAATCACATCATATAATTCATATAATGTATCATTTACATCATTTATATCATGACTGGTTTCATACCCCGAGTCACGTGAAATCTTATGGAATATATCATAGTAACATATCATATCATGCCCGGCAGTGCCATTATCATGTCTTCCTTAGGTTGCTCGTGGCTACCGAAGCACAAGGCTTCATCAACTTCGTCGTCTTCTTGACCAAGGGAGATGCAAGCGAGGACATGAAAACCATCGTGGGCGAATTCCAGGGCGACGAAGACAAGGTGATGTTGGACTTCGAGGGGATATTCGAGCAGTACTCCATTGAGTTAGCCCGGGATTGGTATCCTCTTCAGGAAGGTGATCTGCAGCTGTCGAGTTCGGCGATTTGTGCAGCCGGGTCAGTTCTTCCTCTTGCGAAGATGGTTGTCCATATGTCGAGTTGGACACGATCCATTTCCCTGACGACTTCCACTGCACTTGCTCTGCAGAAAGGCGTCAGCAACCCCAAGGATTTGTTTGTGGATTGTATTATGACTAATCTGGGCAGCAAGGAGCACGAAGCAGGTAAGTTCATGCATTGTCTACGACGGGCCTCTCAGGGTGCAAATACTACACAGCAGCAGATGGCCGCTGAGTTTGTGAATGGCTGCTTGGTCAAGGGTGCACACCTTTTCCTAAAGGCGATTGAGATTGCCACCGCAGATTTCCGGGAGCTTCGCGACACCTTGCATGTTTGCTACAAGCAGTTCGACGGCCTCGTGGAGTTCAATGCATCCTTGGATGAGGGAAAGATCGACTCGGTTCTCACGGATCGGCTATGCCAGTGCCCCTCCATGCAGAAGTGTTTTCTTTTCCTTTCGCATGGTCCGGAGATGCTTGAATCCTTGCAGAAGTTCCTTGTGGGTCTTGAGGCAGCTGCCACTCAAGGCGGCCAGGGTATGTTCAGGTGTGGGTCCGCATACCAGCCGGTAGCCCAAGCGGCAAATGCGAGCATACAGGAGCTGAAAGCTTTCATGGTTTCGGATTGGAATTCGAAGGTCACCATCGAAGAGCTAAAGGCTTCTTTGAATTCTGAGTCCAAAAAAGAGGATTCTTTCACGATTGGAGTGATTCAGTCTGCAGTAGCAAATGCAACAATCGCCCAAGCCTGTTGTCGCACCCTGAAAACCGGCGAGACCAGGCAGGCTTTGATTAGCCGGGCTCACACTGGCATCCGAAAGCGCGGATGGCCAGTGCATTCTGTGTTGAATCGTCGTTGCACTGCTGTTCTGGCCGGAAAGCCGACACAGTAAGGATGACTAATTAGAGTCATGATCCCTCTTTGGCACGAGCCCTCCAGGGAAATAGCATAAGTTAGGCATTCCTCCCAAATTAATCGTGTCACCAACTAGGCTGCCCACAAAAAGATCCGAGCTTTCCCTAGGCTTTCCTCCCGAGAAAAGTTAAGAATAGCTTATGGCTTATGTTATACATTACAACTTATAAATTACCTATAGTCTCCATTGTAGTTCCTTTTTTTGGTTACCCAGTTTTATGGTTAGGATCCTATAATAGAGTTTTTGGTTAACCAAAAAAAGGAACTGCAATGGAGACTATAGGTATAAATTATACAATTTTTTTTTAGTATTTCATGTGGCTTAAGGGGTTTCAGCTTAGGCTGAGAATTGACGACGTTATCCCGAAATCGTGGGAACATACGCTCACGAGCAGCCCTCCCATAAATACAGAGTTTCCCAGCAGGCCATCTACAAAGAGAGACCCGAATATCTCGTAATCCGTACTCCTCTGACCGCCACTAAACCATAATGATTATGATTCTGATACTTCGAGGGCTCGCCAAGCAGATCAAGTTTCGAGCTGTTTGGGACGTTCGTGGCACTTGCATCTGCCAATCTTGTGGCGGGCGTACAGTACCGTGCCTGCTTCCTTCTTTACAAAGCTTGCAACCGATGGAGAAGAAGAAATTGCACGTCGGCCGCATCATGCAGGCACTCATCTCGAGGGATGTCGGATTGATTCCAAAGGTTTGAGATTTGAGATGACACCGGAAGTCGACCAATCATTCAGCCTAATTGGCCATTGATTTCTGCATTATTAGCTGTTTAGCTACCAGCTACCACCCAAGAAAGTGTTTAATTACCACCCCATAAACTTTTCAAGTACCCTGAACTACTTGAAACTGTGCAGTTGCCACCCCAGATGACGGCCCAACTAACTGTTCAATTACCACCACAATAACTGTTCAACTACCGCCAAGTTAACTGTTCAACTACCACCAAGTTAACTGTTCAACTACCACCAAGTTAACTGTTCAACTACCACCAAGTTAACTGTTCAACTACCACCAAGTTAACTGTTCAACTACCACCAAGTTAACTGTTCAACTACCACCAAGTTAACTGTTCAACTACCACCACAATAACTGTTCAACTACCACCAAGTTAACTGTTCAACTACCACCAAGTTAACTGTTCAATTACCACCAAGTTAACTGTTCAACTACCACCAATTAACTATTCAACTACCACTGTTCAACTACCACCAATAACTGTTCAAGAACCCTATAAAGAGTTACTGTTAGAGGAAGCCCCTAAGTTTTACTTTATGGATTTTGTGGTACAGGTAGAGCAGCAGAAGGCCGCTTCCGCCCAGCGCCAGTTGAAGGCAGGACCGGTCGAACTGTAATTTGAGCATATCTTGAGTTTAATGCTGCAGGTACAGGAGCAGAAGGCCGCTTCCGAGGGCCAGTTGAAGGCAGGGACCGGTCACCTTGAGTTTGGTAGATTTTATTTTATGGTGCAGGTAGACAAGCAGAAGGCCGCTTCCTCCGAGGGCCAGTTGAAGGCAAGGACCGGTCACCTTGAGTTTGATAGATTTTACTTTATGGTGCAGGTACAGAAGCAGAAGGCCGCTTCCTCCGTTTGCCAGTTGAAGGCAGGACCGGCTCACACTGTAATTTGAGCATGTGTTGAATTTACATGCTGCAGGTACAGAAGCAGAAGGCAGATTCCGCCAAGGGCCACTTGAAGGCAGGACCGGTCACGCTGATTGACTGTAAGCATAATTAATATAAGACTTGACGAAGATCCGATTCCACTGGCACGCGACGGCTCAGTCAGTGCAGTCCAGTTTCAAGGAGTCCAGCAATGTTTGAGTTGAGTCCGTAGCTAGTCTAGCACACTGACTTTGAAAGCGGCGGGCCCGTGGCTTAAATTGCTTTGCAGACTTTAAGTTTAGTGGTGGTAGCACTGCCCGTCCGGGTCCGTGATGAGACTTGGTCGCTTTGCTCGCGGATTCCGGCAGCGGCGGCGCGAAGAATCTGCTCATGCTGCTCTCATGAAGTCATGGGGATTAAGCGCAAAGCCGACGGAGGAGGAGTTTGTCATGACGCCTGAGTCGACGGAGTCGCAGCTTCTTCGTGATGTCAAAGCTCTCTATGCTAAGTGCGAAGGGCTTTTTGAGCTGATAAAAGATGTGAAATTCCAGCAAGACAGGATCCATATGCAGCTTATAGCCACTACTCAGAAACTGGACGAGGTGAAGGAGGAGTTCGATAGTTTATCTTTCGATGTTGGCGAACCCAATCATGGCGCAGCATCGTCGTTGCGGCAACAAATTCAGGAGCTGCAGACCGGGCTGGAATCGGTGAGGTGCCGAGTGGATGGTCTGACGCGTCTCGGAGTTCACATTTTGCCATAGGGCAGCTAGCCGCTAGCCTCGTTCTGCTGTGGCTTCGGGACAGATCCTTGAAGGTGCTGTCCTGTTGTTGCCGCGAGCTGACTGGCACCGCAGTTGAAACACTTGCTTGCTACTGAGGGTCTGTGATGCACACAACAGTAACACTCACTCTCATTGTCATGTCTCTTCCCCCCTTGAGGCTGTTGCACGCTTTTAAGCATTCAGGGGACTTGATTAATAATCTGACGTTTGTTCGTTAGGGCTCCGAAGCTGTCACAGTGACAGGGACAATGTAATGCAGAGCAGAACAGAAACAGCCGTAACATGACATGTCATGCCAATCCTATTCGACTTGGCTTTTAAATTGCTAGACTAGAAATTTGATTTGCAGGCTAGCACTGACTGTCTGGATGGAGGATGGAGGGCTCCGAGGCTGCAGCAGCTGACTCTTCCAGCGAGCATGAGGTGGACTCCTCTGAGACCTCCACTATGAGCATGGTGTCCCGGCACGTCTTCGACTTGCAAGTGCAATTCGATCGTCAACGCGAGGAGCTGGTTGCCTTGAAGGTTCGTTGCGAAAGGCTGGAGGCTTCACTGGCTCAGCAACAGTCTCGACTTACATGGCTTGAGCGGCTGATGCAGCGGATTAACCTTGCTTTTCTCGAGTGATGTACGCGACTTCGGAGCCAGACGCCTCAACAGTGAGCGAATCTTCCAGAGGTGGTGTGCAAAGCTGACAGTTTTGAGCAGTGCACGGTTTGCTTGGTCGGCTTGTGTGAAAAAACGATGGGACTGACAGGGTCTTGAAACTAAGAGTCGACACGGCCGGCCATCATTTGCTAACTTAGCACGGGGTTGCAGGTTCTAGGGGTTTAGCTTAAAATCTTTGGGTTCAGATGGTGGCGGTCATTGGGTTTAACGTCTCGGTCAGACAAAGAATGAAAGCAGAATGCGGCCAGTCCCGCGCCGGTAATCAGAAATCCCAGACCTTGCAAAATACTTTCCCATGTTCTAATAAAATAGGCAAATTAAAGAAGTTGTTAAATTCTCGTCAAACACCCTCTGAAAGACCCATTGCCATATGAAAGACCCTTTGCCTCATCCGCGGGATTCCCTCTCCTCCCTCCCTGCTTCATTGCCAGTCTCCTGTAATAACTACTAGCACTTGCCTTTCGCTCTTTGCCGCTGTCAGGTGCAGAAGAAGTTGAAGGAGGTTTCAAAGGACGAGGGATTGACAAAGAAGAAGAAGAAGGACACACAGCAGCAGCCAGGTACGTCTGTTGCATTTGTTTTCCAAATTGACATTGAGGAACAGTCGCGAGCTTCGAAGACACTTCAGGCCATTGCCGTGTGTTGTTGGGTTGCAAGTCTTCGTCGAGCCAGGCAATTGACAATTCAGTCGCATCGCGTGGGATGTACAGGCGATGCTGGTGAATGCCCAGAAGAAGCTTTCCGTGGGAGAGATGCAGATGTTGGGAAGTTTTCTTCTCACGAGAAGAGATAGGTTGCCGCCTTGTGCACGCGCATGTCTCCGGCCCCAACGGGGGGGTTGATGTTTCGGCATATGCTGTCCGATTTGGGCAAGCTGCTGCTTTGAATCTTGAGGTGGCCCATTCCTGAGTTTTCTCTCCTGCTGTGCAATGGCAGCCGTAACCAGTCTTAAAACCAAGAGCTCCCAGGAGGTGCCTGGGCGTGGTAAGGATGCTATTAAAAGCAACGGGGCCTTGAAGTTTCGGGGCACGAAGATCTTCAAGTCTTGGAGCACCATCCGTCCGGTGCTCAGTGCGCATTACAAACTAAACCCACCGTTGTAAAGCTCGTCTCAGTCAGGCTGCTTCGGTGCTACGTTCAAGGCCTGTGATCCTGATTCCGTGTCGCAACGTGGCATCCGCGACACTGGGCTTCTGACATGCAGCACTTCAAGCCGTTGAGTCTGTAAGACTCAGACTCAAAGCAAGGACCTGGCCAATCAAGTGAAGCACAGCGTCATGTACAAGGAAGCCATCGGTCCGGATGGTGTTAGCGGCGACTACCTGAATGTGGAAGCAGCAGAATGGTTTTCAGGCCTTGTTGGACCGTTCTTAGCGGAATTCTTTCAACGTCCTGCTCTGGGAGGCCTGCCTCGCGGCTGGAGCAGCCCATGCACCGGCAGCGTCAACAAGGCCGTCTTCCGGAGCATGTTCCCACATGCTCTGAAGGACCATCATTGATTGTCAGGTCATCTGACTGAATCTGAATCCTGGTAGTCATGGGACGTCGTGTCAGGACGAAGCCCAGAAGTTGCCCGTCATCAGCGTTTTCAGTGGTGTTGGAGGCCTCGAGTTGGGGATGTCCAAGCCCGCTTCTCAGCAGGTTTCAGATGCACCGTGCTTTGAACGGCTTGAAAATAACATCACTTGTCAGATACTTCCGAGTCACCGATTACGCCTGGGACTCAAACTCAACATCCAGCCTGTCTGCTTGCGCTTATTATACAGTGTAGTATTCTGGTGTCCGTGCTGAGGTGGAGGCTGACGAGTTCGCTGCAAGCATCATTGCTGCAAGACAGCAGGACGGCTTGCTGCCGCAGGGACCCGTGCATCATGACATCCGTGCCTTTTCGGCTACAACTACCCACCCCGCTTGCGGCGTGGGAGGTGGTTTCCCATGTCAGGCCAGACTCTACATGCTCGGACTCCGGACTCCATGATTGACTGAATGATTCACAGAGCGAGTGGACAAGTGATGCAGTGATGAAGCGTTCTTGCTCCTGGTGCTGTCAGGGCATCAGCCGAGCTGGGCACCAGCGGGGCTGGCGAGACGAGCGCACGAAGTTGCTTACGCAGGTGTTCAGGGTGTATGACACCTTGAACCCTGAGAGGCCAGCTATATCGCAGCATCGCTGTCTCTCTCTCTCTCTCTCTCTCTCTCTCTCTCTCTCTCTCTCTCTCTCTCTCTCTCGCACTCTCTCTCTCTCTCTCTCTCTCTCTCTCTCTCTCTCTCTCTCTCTCTCTCTCTCTCTCTCTCTCTCTCTCTCTCTCTCTCTCTCTCTCTCACTCTCTCAGAATCATTCTCTCTCCCTCTATCTCTCTTATCTGTGTCTCTGTCTCTCAGTTAAGATTTAAAGTGAATGTCAAGGCTCGAAGCTCCGATTTGGCCGTGTGTGTTTGTACCCAGGAGGAAGATCATTTATTTGGAGAATACAGCGGCCATCCTGTCGCCCGCGCTGCGTGAGGTCCTCCTGTACTTGCTGAAGGACTATAGATTTCGGTTTGATTTGTTGTCGATCTTGGGTGTGTTATCCGGAGTCAAGCAGTCAGAACGGCAGCAGCACGTGCAATGATGCTCGTCTGAAGATTCAGATTCTTTGGGCAGGAAGCTCTGCATTCTGCATACATTCATTGTTGACTTGTCAAGTCAGCTGCCATGGACACACTTCTCAGCCATGCCACTTGCTGGCGGGCTCCCCAGGTGCAGTTACAGAGTCAGATTCCGTGAAGAATTCAACCCAATTATACATACCACTATTTATTAATTGATCCTTATGCAGCATGGGGTGCTCGTAAGTGATGTTGATACAGGCGTTCTGACCTTCAAGCTTCTACGGAAGCTTACGACTCCGTGTATAAATTATACACGGAGTCGGAAGCTTCCTTAGATGCGACCTTGGAGCCTGCGCTGCCTCACTGCTGATTTACTTCTGATGTCAGCGGGTGCTCCAGATGCAGTGTCTTGTCTTCATATGGGATGTCTGTTTCAGGATGCAAGCCAGAGTCTCCATATGTGATGATAGTGAAATTGTCCATACTTGCTATATAACGATCGAACATCGTGGTCGTGGTATCGGAATTGAATTGGCGTCGGTACTAGGACGTGACAAGTGCTGACTATAAAACTACTAAGACCCCTTATTAATTAAATCGGAGGTTGGCGCCCGTGAACGATATCGAGTCCGGTGCACCGGCAAGCAGCAGCAACCAGGAGAAGTGAAGTTGGGTTGTTGGATTTCAGCCTTCAAGTGTCAGCTGTGCTCATTGAATTTGGGATGTGGGCGTGTTTCAGCTGCTGACTGCTGATGTTACCTGTTGCCTCTTACTCCGTGTCTGAGCGCGTGCCTGCAGTTCAAGCCCATGTCATGACGAGTCAATATTGGTTTCAGAAGGACAAAATACTTGGCTCAGTGAGTCAGTGCAATCCCAGCCATCATTTACAGGGTCGTGATTCATAATTTGTATCATGCTTAGAAATTTCTCTGGGCAGGAAGTCGGAAAGTGTTCAAGTGCACCCAGAGTGGTTAGAAGTCC